AGCTTTTGCGTAAATACAAATACAAATTATTTATTAATCAAAACTGTGTACATTTTAATTACAGGGTGTGCTAGTCCCCACACTAGGATTCCCTGTGTCGTGGGCGGCTAATCTAGTATCATAACAGTACTATTCATACAATTCAAAAATGTTATTTGATAAAGTTTGAATAACATTAAGATACAAACGGGACTCGAACCAACACCGTACCGTTCTCTACCACGCTGCTTAATAAAAGTCAAAATACATGTGCAATTTATAGATATAAAACCGTCAAACATTTTTAGATCATTTTAAAAGATCATTCTTTCACACAATTTTTTTGTGTATATTGGTCCGTTTTCGCACCATACGCATAGGAAAGATGAACTTTTCCCGTTGTTTCTTCGTTAACAGTGCGATGTTTGCGCTTCCTCGATAAATGAATAAAAGAAAATAAACACAAAAATACTTTTTCTATTGGAACCAGTATTTCCTAAGATAAGCGCATTTAAACAAAGGAAAGAAACTCTTCAGTTTTATGCATTAGTATAGATATCAAATAATATAAGAGTGCGTTGAGGATGAGGAACCGAGTAAGGGATTACCATCAGCGGCCTCATTGTAATAGACTTGTATCCTTTCTAATTGCAGTTCGCTGTCTCCGTGATATTTTCCCGTCGGGTCTATGCCGTGTTCATCTGAGATTATCTCCCAGAACTGAAATAAAAAATATACAGATAAACATTATTTGCACAGGTTTCAATTTTTTTTTGACACATAGATTTTAAACTTCTGTGGCCTGTGTCCGACTGAAACAAATAATTAGGTAAATGTGTTCGATATTCAAACTCAGTACCTCTCTCAACTAGGCATTTGGTTTAACCACCAGCGCGGTCAAAAATTTAGTGCTAATATCCTGCTATAGTAACAAGCTGTTAGTTTAACTCTGCTAACGTTATAATTAAATGTACCATGTACTCGTCGCGGGAGACACGGCAGTGAAAAACAATTATAACAACACCCGCTGTTGCCTACGGTGTGGTCTGTGTTTTTTAATAAACTAGCTGGGCCTGCGACTTTGTGAGCGTAAAATAGCTATTTTGGGTATCATGTTATTTATATTTGTTTCGTCCTTAATTTTATAAATATAGCATTTACGACGACGTCGTCCGCATTCCATCGGCCTTGTCTTAAAAGACAGAAATATTGTCGCGGACGTTATTTAGATAAGTTAAAGAAGAATCATTCCTTTATATATATTATTAGTTTAGTAAACCATTTTCGCAGCGCGTGCAACGGAACTCCGTAAAGATGAATATTTTTTCCATCTTTTCCGCTCCATTGGTACCAGCTAGATATTTTATACTCTAAAGCCTTCCACTTCATTTCTTTTCAACAATCTACCATCTAAACGATATTAAAATAAAATTTCAATTAGAACTAGTAGTTCCTGAGATTAGCGCGTTCAATCAAAACAACAGTTCAGCTGTAATATTAGTATAGATAAATCAGCTACATAATACATCATAAATGTAGTTATAACTATAAACTATGCGTGTAGCTACTAATTACTACTAATATCAAATAAATAAAATATGAGTTATAAACATATTGTGTAGGTTTGTATTTTAAAAATATTAAAAGTGAAACCACAGGTGTTATAAAACATTATATAAAACACATAGATAGCAAAGCACAGTTAATATCTCGTGCGAATGTTCGACTTTCAGAGCGTAACAATTATTATAAATAGACTTCGTCTTTGCAATGTCTGCGTATGACCTGAATTATTTGCAAATAATTTACCTTTGATCCTATTTGGTTGCCGCATTGACCAGCTTGCAAATGCACAATTTCCCTCATTTCTTCAAATAATTGCACGACAATATAGACGTGATGATTGCGCGAGAGTCTATTTTGAGATCACACGTGTGATTTTCTAATGAACGCTAACGTCGCTGATTTATTCGCGCTGCATTAGTAATTATTTAATAATTGATTTTTTTTTGTTTGTCAGTGTGCTATTACTTTATAAAGTTATTATTAATATTTAGAGGTCACATAATTACACAATCACTCAGGTGGACTTGTTGGAAATTTCTTAACATTCGGGTAGAAAAATATTAACGTTATATTGCTTAAAATATTTTATATTTATATTTCAATTAAGCGCTTGAATAAGAAAGTGCGTAAAATTTTATCTGTGACCATAATTAAAAAGAGCAAAGAAGCGGTGACCTGATAAATAATCTGTAAAATGCGATATTAAAACGTCAAAGTGTCAATTGTCACAAAGTCAAACATTTTTTCCTTGTTAAAAATTATCGTGATTTTCGTGAGTAGGGCTTATTATAGATTTATTGTACTTTTACAAATAAGTATAATATTCATAAATATATTTCAAAATACAAATGTTGAACGCGTTTATAGGCGCCGTGTGTGTTATTCGGAAAGATGTCTTGCTATTGTGATTGTGTTGAACAAAATGAAAACCAATAAAACTGCACAGCAATTTCATATTGATATGACGTGTTATTGTGTATAAGTGCTATCTTGGTGGCAAGCAGTAAGTTATTTTCAAGCTGTAGTGATTACAGCATTGCGTTTCAATTACTAAATAACCGGAGTAACATTCAGGGAGCAAACTAATTTACCCACTGTTATAAGATTTTTTTTTCTATTTTCATGACAATAATAACGCCATGATATCATTTAATCATATAATTAAAAGTTGTTGGTGTATTTTTAAGGATATCAATCTTTTCATCTGAAGTTCTATAAATAGACTACTACTTACTATTACTTTTTAGTAATTTTATTGCATATAATTTAACTATAAACAATAACACACTAGTTTACTTAATGTAATATAGTATAGCTCTATAGTTTACTTAATGTATTATAGTATTGTTTTTTTTTAAATGTATTGTATAATATTCTTGAGGATGTAAAACTAAGCCCAAAAATTCAACTTGTTAGAATTTTTAGCTTTTGAGATATTATTTTTTTAATTTTAGTCAAGATACGCATGTACATGAAAATAATTGTGTTTTAACTCTGGAAACACTTTTGACAATATTTTAATGTTTGGTTATTAGGTGTTAGTTTAAATCTCACAATGCTTTTTTGGTTCTTTTTTCCATATGGTTATTTAGTTTTTTTTTTGACAAATAAAATTCTGTTGGTCATAAGTCACTATTATAAGGTTGAATTCTAACTTAATCAATCTCTGTCTGCTTCACCTGGGGGCGCAGACCCCCCATTTGAATAAACGCCAATCTAAATTTACATGCATTTGTTAGGTAAGGTTAGAGCAATTATAAATCTACGGATGGCGCGAAATTTTCGAACATTTATAAAAAAAAACTCAGAAATTGCATCCCCCCCTTCACGGGAGAGTATCTTACCCTCATCAAACATCCAAGCAAATTATATTGCAAAATACATCTTGACTACAAAATTTTCAAAAATACATTAAAAAAACTAAACTATAAAGTATCTCACCCCAACCCCTTGTCAGTAGATAAAAGTATATAGACAACATAGTTTTCCATAATGTTTATTATCTTGCCATCTGAAAATTCAGTCAAAAGTTAATTTTTTAATTTAAGTTTTACATTAACTATTTCTGCTTTTAGATAACAATGGCAGAAAAATTGCCAAACCAGATGCCGCTCTACCCACCGGGTGCCTCCTTTGAGCAGAAGTTTGAAGAGCACTACCAGCAAGTGCTCAAAATGGAGGACCCTCAATATATGCAAGAGCAGAATTATGATGATAAATCGTTTCTATCTACAGGAGAGGGCTCGCAGGAACCAAAAATTGAACCTGGTAAGCCGATAAAATTCATCAGTGTGAACAGCTCCCAACTTACGCCGGAGCAACGAGAAATGTACGAGTCTGTACTCTCCACTTGGAAGCCAGTTCTCTATCCAAAGCAGGTGAAGCGGTATATCTGTGAAAAGTGCAATAAGGAGTTTAAGAATTACCAAAATCTATACCTGCATACAACTCGGGTTCACTCAACTGAGGAGTCAGCTGTCCTTTGCAATATTTGCGACAAGTCATTTAAGAATAAACATTATTTATACATGCACAGGATGAATAAGCACTACTCAGAGTCGGAAAAGTGCTTCTGTCAGTTTTGCCTGCAAGAGTTCAGGACGAGGCGTGCCCTGCATATGCATGTTAAACGATTTCACCCAAACACGCTGCCAGAATTGAAATGTAAAGACTGCGGTAAAGAGTTCAGAGTGCCGTACAAACTGAGATACCATATAGACGCATGCCATAGACAAGACAAGGACAAGTACAAGTGCCACATCTGTGAAAAATTCTACAAGAGTCATCTAAACCTGAACCGTCATCTTCATTTCCAGCATTCTCAAATACCTCGTCATCCTTGTGTCTTCTGCGACATGACGTTCAAGTCGCGTCATCATATGAAACGTCATATATTAAACATTCACCCACCGCTGGAATCAAAGGTACAGTGTCCGGAGTGCTTAAAGGAGTTTAAAAACGATCAATATCTAAAGGAGCATATGCAAGTCCATTCATCAATAGACTCAAAAGTTAAATGTGAACTGTGTGATAAGATTTTTCACTCAGCTATCCGACTGAAAAAGCACAAGAAAATAGTACATCCAGATAAACCGAAGTTACGCTGCGAGAAGTGCGATAAGGAGTTTGCGCACGCGCATTACCTGCGACGCCATAACAATGCAGTGCACATGGACGTAGATGAAAGCCAATATCAGCACGAGTGTGACCAATGCGGAAAGAAGTTTAAAATCAAGAGGTACCTGAACAACCATTTGCAGCGCCATGAGCAGCAGCATTTGAAGAGGATCTCACAGATGGTAAAAACTGTGATGGACGATGGGACAGAGCAAGTTGTGAAGAAAAGAGGCAGGCCGAAGCGAGAAGCGCGGAAAGAAATTGAGTTTGTCAAATGTGAGCCCGTTAGCTCGGAGGAAGAGTCTGATACGGAGTCGGATTCGGAATAGTTGTAATTTTTATGGAGGTATCAGTCTTAGAGTGATTGTACTAATTTGTCTCTGTTTGGGGTTATGGATTAGTGAGAGATAGACAGGCAATAATAATAGGCTACTCAGCATGTCCCCTGTCAGCTTGTTACCACGACTCACATCATAGTGATGTCCTTTGCTGGATTGGGGATTTCGAGAAACAAAAAGATAGTTAATCTTTAGGAATAATTATTCCACTCAGTTCTTTATTTTTCGGATTGACTACTGTTGTAGAAAAGAAAAGCGTACGATAAATGATAGTTTTACGTATACTAAAAAAATGTGGCGGTAACTCACTAAAGAGAGACAAAATAAGTCTCCAACAGAACATAGATCATTCTACATACCTCTTACAAAGCATGACTTGCGATTTTAGATATCTAATACCATATGCGCTAGGTGCATGATTTGGGGATACCATTAAATGCCACTGTCGTTTTATCTTTGGCTGGTGGTATTGCTTTTTACGAGACAGAAAAACGAGGATTAATCTATGGTATATACTAAATTTGAAAATAGATGAATAAAGGTAAAAACAAGATAAATCTTTTACACAAACAAAATAAATAACTTCTTGTTCTGGATTTTTCGTCTGTCATGTGCGTCTCGTTCACAAAATATTGCCACTAAAGGTTTTTTGCGTTTTATGTCTCATTTCATTGGCCTTCAGAGCCACGTGCAGTTGATATTGTAAAATTTTGCGGGTAGATTGGTTAATCAATAATGTTTTTAACATATTACCTACGGTGGTTTATTTGCTGGCCCTTCGAGTACTTTGTATGAGTTTTTGGGTGTTAAAAAACTAAAGGTAGTCCAAAAAAACAACAAAAGGTCACTCGAATAAATCTATTATTTAAAAGTCTATTAACGAACTAATAGTATATAATTATACTTTTGTATAGGTTATATGATTATTAGGTTAGGCTGTTAGGGGAGTTTTTATTCAGTTGGGGTGGTTTAGGACAATCTAAGCTAAATATAATAAATTACAGTTGCACGTTGAAAAATGCGCTATCAAATCAACGGATTGTGGGCTAATGCAAGTGGGCGTGACCAACATTTTCCATTGTTTTCCATTTTAATAGATCATTAGTACATACCCCTGTTAAACGCGTTGTCTACAATTGCGTTAAGCGCTAGTGGTCCTGGGTTCGAATCCCGGGAAAACAATAGATTGTTTTGATCTGTGAAACGTGCACAGAAATGTGTTCTGCCCCCTGGGAGGAAACGGCATTTGACTTCTATTATTATTTTATTATTGATAGGCAATAACTTATAATATGTCGGTCTTTTATTTAAAGAATTCGGGTGTTGCAAAGTAAGCCTCAATCTACCGAGTCTTTTTACCTCGTACTGTTGGTACTCGGAAATCAGGTCGTTCATATTGCTCTCTGCTTCAGTGAATTCCATTTCATCCATGCCTTCACCGGTGTACCAATGCAGGAACGCCTAGAAGTAGACAACTTGAACCATCGTGTACACAATTGTCGTATGTATGGGGCAGACATATTACTACGTCCGTTACACTGACTCTTTCTTTTACAAGTTTTTTACTCGTATAAGAAATCGGACAGGAATTCTCAGTAGATGTTTTACCGCCACCGGGTCATACAAGCAAATGTTGGCATTATATAAATGAAAAATCTGTTTGAATGAAAACAGTTTACGACGCGAGCGGGACTTGAACCGGCATCCAAAGCGTTCCGTGCTGCTACTCTAACCAACACGGTAGTTCAATTGGGCGTACACACATGAAAAAGCCGTGAAGTATAGTCGCTTTTCAGTTTTAGTCTGTGAATTTCAGGATATTCTACCAAATATGGCTGAGGTACTTCTTCTTCCATCCATCAACCTCATGTTGTCTGTTTAATAAAAAAAAGTAAATAGTTATAGCAGCAACACGTAACTCTGTGGATGTAATTTATTTTCAATATAAATTTTCATTTGTTTAGTAACGTATTGATGGATGTTTCTAGGTTAGATTCTCAGGATAAGTTGTTTCTAGGCTACAGAAATCTCACCGCAGTCCTAACCTTACCAGCTGAATGGGGCTCCAAACATACTAAAATTTAAAATGCAGTGGCACGTAAGTAAATCTGTTAAACATTATAATATCAGTACCTTTCTTCTAAACATGACGGTGAATTGTTCGGAGATTCTTTTGAAAATCTCTTGAATGGCGGTAGAATTTCCGACGAATGTCGCCGCCATCTTTAATCCTCTTGGTGGTACGTCGCAAACGGCTACTTTGACGTTATTTGGAATCCATTCGACGAAGTAACTAAAACAGTATATTATTATAATAAAAACTTTAATATTTTTCACATGTTATTGCGCATGATGACACTATACATATAAATTAAAAATCGATTATGAATAGAAAAAAAAATACGACTTGAGCAGGACTTGAACTAACATCTACTGCGTTCCGTGCTGCTCTAAACAATTGAGCTACGGAGTCCTACAGGTCATCGTCGAATTTTTTCCAACATATTGATACACTTCTCGCGCAATGTAATTTAACTTAACACTTGGTTAGAGCAACTGCAAAGTCGTGCTCGAGTTCTTTTTTTTAAAATTTATAATCGATTTTTAAATTTATTGTGCGTAGCTTATATCTTGATAGTACTTAGAAAGTAGTGGACAACAAGTAAGTGCATACCCGGAATTTTTGTCTTGTATCGCTAGCATTTGTTCGTCAACTTCCTTCATGGACATTCTTCCGCGAAAAATGGCCGCCACTGTTAAGTAGCGACCGTGGCGAGGGTCACACGCAGCCATCATATTTACTGGACTGAACATCTAAAAATAAAATCAATTGAAAAGAAACTAAACGCTATACGATGTGAAAAATTATTCTTTCGCCATACTAGCTAACTTAACAAAATAGTCACCTTAATAATCTATATTAAAGTTATAAAGTTCCCGAGTTTGTCTGTTTAATTGGACTAATTTCAGGAACTACTGCTCAAAATTAAAAATATATATATTTGGTTAGAGATTTGGATAGATATATCGAAAAAGGCTTTAGGCTTTAAAATATCAAAGGAGCAAAGAAACGATTGAAAATGTGGAAAAACCGAGGAAATTAAGCATGCAGTGCAAAGACGGTATGAATAAATGCCTTTTCTTTAAATGAGCTATGAAAATGACCCCGTCATTGTATGTGTATCTTTTAAATTTAACTCAGAAGAAAGCCGGGACGCGGGTGACAGAGTTGGTTATTAATATGATGTCCAAAATAACTATTCCACGCGGATAAAGTCGCTGACACAGCTCGTAATTAATATTATAAATGTGTATTTTTGATACAACTTCACGCCTTTACTTCGCATTGGAAACTAACCTAAGTGCACTTAGATCGAATAATGCTTGAATGTTAATCTTATAGGCTTGGAACCTTTAGCGTCGCATGCGCAAGAAACTTATATGAACACTGAACGATCACAAGTGGGGTATGGGACAAACGTTTTAGTAAATTATGTTCAGCGAAGGTCTTATGGTATAGTCGTGATACGTTTTATCTTAGTGGCAGAGCTGGGTTTCAGACCCGCCTGTGTATTATTTTGCTTTCTGTTTACCTGTGTCGTCAATTCCGGAACTGTTAAAGCGCGGTAGCCCTGACTGTTGCGTGCCGTTAGCGGAGCAAAACCTGGAAGTGGAAACAGAGAGAGAGCATGAGGTTCAAGTGATGGTAGGTGAAATAGCATCCAAACAAGGTGCGCTGTTGGCCTATTTTAGCTTTATATCGAATAATGCACAGACAAACTATAACGCTGTCTATAGTTTACGCGAGTAGTACACATTTAAATAAAACACTTTAACGGTTTAAAACGCGATATATTAGTTACACTTATTTGAAAATGATCTGATGATGTCTCCCCGTGACCACGGCTGCTGCAAAGCATCCGAAACGTCGGGCCGAAGTTAAAAATCATTTTCAAATAAGTTTAACTAATATATCGCGTTTTAAACCGTTAAAGTGTTTTATTTAAACTATAACGCTATTAAATTTGGCAGCTTTTTCATCTTGCGGACGGTTGCTCCATGACCCGGACTTTGGTAATTTCTATATTCCTGCCAACCATTTAATATCCAGACTTCCAGACGAAGTACAGGATATTTCAGAAAAATTATAAATTGATTGGAAAGATAGGGGAAGGTGGGGTGATTGGGAACACTTAACTTATAACGCCTAAAAAAATATTGGACCTAATGTGGATCAAAGCCACGACCCGTTGATTGCTATCACTACACCGACGTGCCCGTCAAAATACCCACTTTGCAGTAAAAAATAGGAGTTAAAAGAGATTTTTTTGTTAGAAAATTAATTACTAGTATTTAAATAAAACACTTTAACGGTTTAAAACGCGATATATTAGTTAAACTTACTTGAAAAATGATTTTTAACTTCGGGGAGGTCTCCCCGTGACCACGGCTGCTGCAAAGCATCCGAAACGTCGGGCGGAAGTTAAAAATCACTTTTCAAATAAGTTTAACTAATATATCATGTTTTAAACCGTTAAAGTTTTTTATATAGACAGTATTTAATTACTGGTAGTTCATTTTTTTTATTCAGTAATGTATACATGTTTCAATGTATATAGGTAGTACTTTTAACCATAATTCGTTATTTTTTAACTAAGTACAACCCGGTGATTCAAATACTAATTTCATTATATTTTTTATTAAATTTGTTTAATAGGGCGTTTCAATCAGTTAAATTGTTTCTGTAGTAGGAACGTATTAGCAAACATACTCTTTAGATTTGTAATATTGCTTTAGCTTTGATTGGCTTACATGACCTTGATTTTTTCTCTTATTCCAATAGTACTTCTTACCAGGCATAAAGAAGTGTAACCTCGGAAACGGCACCATATTGACCGCTAGTTTTCTCAAATCCGCATTCAACTGTCCCGGAAAACGCAGACATGTAGTCACTCCGGACATCGTCAACTGTTCAAAACATAAAATACAATTTAAAATAAACACTTAACGGTTTAAAACGTGATGCTATGCAGCAGCTATCACGCGGAGGCTTAATTCTTAAAGCAAAGCATCCGAAGCATCGGGCAGTAGGTAAAAATAATATTATAATAAGTTGAACTAATATATTTCGCAAATAAATCGTGTAAGGCTTTCACGGCTATTGTTCACCATTGTTTTTCGGGCTGTTCGGCCGACGAGAAAAGGCTCTGTACGTTTCACCACCACGAGCGGACGGCATCATCAAGAGTTATTGTATCTAAGCTCCTCGATTACTCGAAGAATTAAATATAAATCTGGCAAATCGTCGAGAACCCCTTCGCCCTTACATCGGTCGAATAGCCCGAATGCAATGATATAATATATATCGCGTTTCAAACCGTTAAAGTGTTTTATATAATTGTGAAAACTCACACAGACACTATGTAAGAGCTAATTTATTAGGATAAATAAATTGCTTATACGAACCTTCATTAATTAAAACTAGACAAAACAGAGCCACCAAGAAAAGGTAAAAAGAAACTGTTAGTACCGGACAGGGAACTGACTCGTTAATAATTGAACTACTCCAACTGGTTGCTTCAGTATTCTGTGGTCAACTTACCGACACCAAATGATTTAGATCTCCATATGTGGGCGACGCGAGGCGTAGCGTTCTGAAGCAAATGTCGTACAATGCTTCGTTGTCTATGCAAAACGTTTCATCTGTGTTCTCCACGAGTTGATGGACTGATAACGTCGCGTTGTAGGGCTCCACCACTGTGTCCGATACCTTGATAAGAAAATGTTATAATACAAAAATTTACTTCAAGCGAATTCTATGATACATTAGCGGGGAATTGTAATCGTATGTATTGCCAATGCCAGTCGAGATTTCAAATTTATCGATAACTAAATTTAAGAAAGTTATAAAATTTCGATCGTCTTAAAAGGCGTATTATTGTCTTAAAACTCAGTAAATCAGGCAGTAGAGTATTGCGTAAAGCACGAGTTGTCCATGGTTTAGGACGGACACAGAAATGTATCTGCGTAGCCTAAAAGAAACGGGATATCGTACATACATTTAAACGTTAAAATTTCACTTTATATGCTGGCAATACTGTTAAGCACATTCGGCATATTTTACCTTAAAAGTGTAAATACCTTTGGAGACGGCATAACGCTAAATGTGTTGACGATCCTGTCGGGATATTCCTCTCGCAACTTGCTAAGGAGAAGAGTTCCAAGACCTGAACCGGTTCCACCTCCCAGGGAGTGAGTCAGTTGAAAACCTAGAAAAGAAAACTTACATACAATACAAATGTATACTATAACAGTGTGCCGGTACAGTGTCTGTCTGTATGTACCCTTTAATCGTCGAAAGGACTGCACTGATGTTGCTAATAATTGATAAAGTTCAGCTTGTCACGTGATTCAAAATTGAGAAATATTCCTTTCTACCATATATTGTTTTATATATTGTCTGTAGTTTACGCGAGTAGCACACATTTAAATAAAATACTATAACGGTTTACGCGACATTGTTACGTTACCTTGAAGACAATCGCACGGTTCCGCCTCCTTCCTGACCACGTCCATTACGGATTCAACTAACTCCGCACCCTCTGTGTAGTGTCCTTTGGCCCAATTGTTTCCTAAAAAATAACATCTGAGTAAAAGTCTATACAAGACCTAGGGTTCCCATGTCTTTGGAATTCCCCAGGAGAATAAAAATGGTTACAGCTGCCAGTAATAGTGAGTATCTAATATTGTATGTCTCCTAGTGCGCAACAGTTTCTCCGCATTTTATATAAATTTAATGCGTCCTTCGTAGGCCTCCCCCCTTTTTGCCTTCTTAATGGGGGATTCCTCCATCTCAGGACACATGTGTACATAATAAATAGTTTATAGTTAGATAAATAAGCTATATAAAATAGATTGTCAATAGATAGATTTAAGTTATGTACATGTAAATAAAGGTTTATTATTTTTACATGCACTTTTCACAAATTGTAATTTTTTAACGTTGATGAAAGACCGACAAATATTAGATAGAAAAGAAAATCATTTTCTTTCTGTCTTTTTTGAATTTTCTAATCGTCTTATATTCTATTTAACCCTCTTTCAAAACATTATCGAAATTTTTCCTTTCCTCTGACCTATTTGAATATTATTTAAAACACAATTCTACTTACCAGCGCCGCTCTGTCCGAAGACGAAATTATCTGGTCTAAACAGCGCTCCGAAACTTGAAGACCTGATGGCGTCCATTGTACCTGGTTCCAAATCGACCAGAACCGCTCTGGGTACGAAACGGCTTCCTGTTGTTATATTTGTTATTAAAGCTTTTGCGTAAATACAAATACAAATTATTTATTAATCAAAACTGTGTACATTTTAATTACAGGGTGTGCTAGTCCCCACACTAGGATTCCCTGTGTCGTGGGCGGCTAATCTAGTATCATAACAGTACTATTCATACAATTCAAAAATGTTATTTGATAAAGTTTGAATAACATTAAGATACAAACGGGACTCGAACCAACACCGTACCGTTCTCTACCACGCTGCTTAATAAAAGTCAAAATACATGTGCAATTTATAGATATAAAACCGTCAAACATTTTTAGATCATTTTAAAAGATCATTCTTTCACACAATTTTTTTGTGTATATTGGTCCGTTTTCGCACCATACGCATAGGAAAGATGAACTTTTCCCGTTGTTTCTTCGTTAACAGTGCGATGTTTGCGCTTCCTCGATAAATGAATAAAAGAAAATAAACACAAAAATACTTTTTCTATTGGAACCAGTATTTCCTAAGATAAGCGCATTTAAACAAAGGAAAGAAACTCTTCAGTTTTATGCATTAGTATAGATATCAAATAATATAAGAGTGCGTTGAGGATGAGGAACCGAGTAAGGGATTACCATCAGCGGCCTCATTGTAATAGACTTGTATCCTTTCTAATTGCAGTTCGCTGTCTCCGTGATATTTTCCCGTCGGGTCTATGCCGTGTTCATCTGAGATTATCTCCCAGAACTGAAATAAAAAATATACAGATAAACATTATTTGCACAGGTTTCAATTTTTTTTTGACACATAGATTTTAAACTTCTGTGGCCTGTGTCCGACTGAAACAAATAATTAGGTAAATGTGTTCGATATTCAAACTCAGTACCTCTCTCAACTAGGCATTTGGTTTAACCACCAGCGCGGTCAAAAATTTAGTGCTAATATCCTGCTATAGTAACAAGCTGTTAGTTTAACTCTGCTAACGTTATAATTAAATGTACCATGTACTCGTCGCGGGAGACACGGCAGTGAAAAACAATTATAACAACACCCGCTGTTGCCTACGGTGTGGTCTGTGTTTTTTAATAAACTAGCTGGGCCTGCGACTTTGTGAGCGTAAAATAGCTATTTTGGGTATCATGTTATTTATATTTGTTTCGTCCTTAATTTTATAAATATAGCATTTACGACGACGTCGTCCGCATTCCATCGGCCTTGTCTTAAAAGACAGAAATATTGTCGCGGACGTTATTTAGATAAGTTAAAGAAGAATCATTCCTTTATATATATTATTAGTTTAGTAAACCATTTTCGCAGCGCGTGCAACGGAACTCCGTAAAGATGAATATTTTTTCCATCTTTTCCGCTCCATTGGTACCAGCTAGATATTTTATACTCTAAAGCCTTCCACTTCATTTCTTTTCAACAATCTACCATCTAAACGATATTAAAATAAAATTTCAATTAGAACTAGTAGTTCCTGAGATTAGCGCGTTCAATCAAAACAACAGTTCAGCTGTAATATTAGTATAGATAAATCAGCTACATAATACATCATAAATGTAGTTATAACTATAAACTATGCGTGTAGCTACTAATTACTACTAATATCAAATAAATAAAATATGAGTTATAAACATATTGTGTAGGTTTGTATTTTAAAAATATTAAAAGTGAAACCACAGGTGTTATAAAACATTATATAAAACACATAGATAGCAAAGCACAGTTAATATCTCGTGCGAATGTTCGACTTTCAGAGCGTAACAATTATTATAAATAGACTTCGTCTTTGCAATGTCTGCGTATGACCTGAATTATTTGCAAATAATTTACCTTTGATCCTATTTGGTTGCCGCATTGACCAGCTTGCAAATGCACAATTTCCCTCATTTCTTCAAATAATTGCACGACAATATAGACGTGATGATTGCGCGAGAGTCTATTTTGAGATCACACGTGTGATTTTCTAATGAACGCTAACGTCGCTGATTTATTCGCGCTGCATTAGTAATTATTTAATAATTGATTTTTTTTTGTTTGTCAGTGTGCTATTACTTTATAAAGTTATTATTAATATTTAGAGGTCACATAATTACACAATCACTCAGGTGGACTTGTTGGAAATTTCTTAACATTCGGGTAGAAAAATATTAACGTTATATTGCTTAAAATATTTTATATTTATATTTCAATTAAGCGCTTGAATAAGAAAGTGCGTAAAATTTTATCTGTGACCATAATTAAAAAGAGCAAAGAAGCGGTGACCTGATAAATAATCTGTAAAATGCGATATTAAAACGTCAAAGTGTCAATTGTCACAAAGTCAAACATTTTTTCCTTGTTAAAAATTATCGTGATTTTCGTGAGTAGGGCTTATTATAGATTTATTGTACTTTTACAAATAAGTATAATATTCATAAATATATTTCAAAATACAAATGTTGAACGCGTTTATAGGCGCCGTGTGTGTTATTCGGAAAGATGTCTTGCTATTGTGATTGTGTTGAACAAAATGAAAACCAATAAAACTGCACAGCAATTTCATATTGATATGACGTGTTATTGTGTATAAGTGCTATCTTGGTGGCAAGCAGTAAGTTATTTTCAAGCTGTAGTGATTACAGCATTGCGTTTCAATTACTAAATAACCGGAGTAACATTCAGGGAGCAAACTAATTTACCCACTGTTATAAGATTTTTTTTTCTATTTTCATGACAATAATAACGCCATGATATCATTTAATCATATAATTAAAAGTTGTTGGTGTATTTTTAAGGATATCAATCTTTTCATCTGAAGTTCTATAAATAGACTACTACTTACTATTACTTTTTAGTAATTTTATTGCATATAATTTAACTATAAACAATAACACACTAGTTTACTTAATGTAATATAGTATAGCTCTATAGTTTACTTAATGTATTATAGTATTGTTTTTTTTTAAATGTATTGTATAATATTCTTGAGGATGTAAAACTAAGCCCAAAAATTCAACTTGTTAGAATTTTTAGCTTTTGAGATATTATTTTTTTAATTTTAGTCAAGATACGCATGTACATGAAAATAATTGTGTTTTAACTCTGGAAACACTTTTGACAATATTTTAATGTTTGGTTATTAGGTGTTAGTTTAAATCTCACAATGCTTTTTTGGTTCTTTTTTCCATATGGTTATTTAGTTTTTTTTTTGACAAATAAAATTCTGTTGGTCATTTTATTTTAAGTCACTATTATAAGGTTGAATTCTAACTTAATCAATCTCTGTCTGCTTCACCTGGGGGCGCAGACCCCCCATTTGAATAAACGCCAATCTAAATTTACATGCATTTGTTAGGTAAGGTTAGAGCAATTATAAATCTACGGATGGCGCGAAATTTTCGAACATTTATAAAAAAAAACTCAGAAATTGCATCCCCCCCTTCACGGGAGAGTATCTTACCCTCATCAAACATCCAAGCAAATTATATTGCAAAATACATCTTGACTACAAAATTTTCAAAAATACATTAAAAAAACTAAACTATAAAGTATCTCACCCCAACCCCTTGTCAGTAGATAAAAGTATATAGACAACATAGTTTTCCATAATGTTTATTATCTTGCCATCTGAAAATTCAGTCAAAAGTTAATTTTTTAATTTAAGTTTTACATTAACTATTTCTGCTTTTAGATAACAATGGCAGAAAAATTGCCAAACCAGATGCCGCTCTACCCACCGGGTGCCTCCTTTGAGCAGAAGTTTGAAGAGCACTACCAGCAAGTGCTCAAAATGGAGGACCCTCAATATATGCAAGAGCAGAATTATGATGATAAATCGTTTCTATCTACAGGAGAGGGCTCGCAGGAACCAAAAATTGAACCTGGTAAGCCGATAAAATTCATCAGTGTGAACAGCTCCCAACTTACGCCGGAGCAACGAGAAATGTACGAGTCTGTACTCTCCACTTGGAAGCCAGTTCTCTATCCAAAGCAGGTGAAGCGGTATATCTGTGAAAAGTGCAATAAGGAGTTTAAGAATTACCAAAATCTATACCTGCATACAACTCGGGTTCACTCAACTGAGGAGTCAGCTGTCCTTTGCAATATTTGCGACAAGTCATTTAAGAATAAACATTATTTATACATGCACAGGATGAATAAGCACTACTCAGAGTCGGAAAAGTGCTTCTGTCAGTTTTGCCTGCAAGAGTTCAGGACGAGGCGTGCCCTGCATATGCATGTTAAACGATTTCACCCAAACACGCTGCCAGAATTGAAATGTAAAGACTGCGGTAAAGAGTTCAGAGTGCCGTACAAACTGAGATACCATATAGACGCATGCCATAGACAAGACAAGGACAAGTACAAGTGCCACATCTGTGAAAAATTCTACAAGAGTCATCTAAACCTGAACCGTCATCTTCATTTCCAGCATTCTCAAATACCTCGTCATCCTTGTGTCTTCTGCGACATGACGTTCAAGTCGCGTCATCATATGAAACGTCATATATTAAACATTCACCCACCGCTGGAATCAAAGGTACAGTGTCCGGAGTGCTTAAAGGAGTTTAAAAACGATCAATATCTAAAGGAGCATATGCAAGTCCATTCATCAATAGACTCAAAAGTTAAATGTGAACTGTGTGATAAGATTTTTCACTCAGCTATCCGACTGAAAAAGCACAAGAAAATAGTACATCCAGATAAACCGAAGTTACGCTGCGAGAAGTGCGATAAGGAGTTTGCGCACGCGCATTACCTGCGACGCCATAACAATGCAGTGCACATGGACGTAGATGAAAGCCAATATCAGCACGAGTGTGACCAATGCGGAAAGAAGTTTAAAATCAAGAGGTACCTGAACAACCATTTGCAGCGCCATGAGCAGCAGCATTTGAAGAGGATCTCACAGATGGTAAAAACTGTGATGGACGATGGGACAGAGCAAGTTGTGAAGAAAAGAGGCAGGCCGAAGCGAGAAGCGCGGAAAGAAATTGAGTTTGTCAAATGTGAGCCCGTTAGCTCGGAGGAAGAGTCTGATACGGAGTCGGATTCGGAATAGTTGTAATTTTTATGGAGGTATCAGTCTTAGAGTGATTGTACTAATTTGTCTCTGTTTGGGGTTATGGATTAGTGAGAGATAGACAGGCAATAATAATAGGCTACTCAGCATGTCCCCTGTCAGCTTGTTACCACGACTCACATCATAGTGATGTCCTTCGCTGGATTGGGGGTTTCGAGAAACAAAAAGATAGTTAATCTTTAGGAATAATTATTCCACTAAGTTCTTTATTTTTCGGATTGACTACTGTTGTAGGAAAAGAAAAACGTACGATAAATGATAGTTTTACGTATACTAAAACAAATGTGGCGGTAATTCACTAAAGAGAGACAAAATAAGTCTCCAACAGAACATAGATCATTCTACATACCTCTTACAAAGCATGACTTGCGATTTTAGATATCTAATACCATATGCGCTAGGTGCATGATTTGGGGATACCATTAAATGCCACTGTCGTTTTATCTTTGGCTGGTGGTATTGCTTTTTACGAGACAGAAAAACGAGGATTAATCTATGGTATATACTAAATTTGAAAATAGATGAATAAAGGTAAAAACAAGATAAATCTTTTACACAAACAAAATAAATAACTTCTTGTTCTGGATTTTTCGTCTGTCATGTGCGTCTCGTTCACAAAATATTGCCACTAAAGGTTTTTTGCGTTTTATGTCTCATTTCATTGGCCTTCAGAGCCACGTGCAGTTGATATTGTAAAATTTTGCGGGTAGATTGGTTAATCAATAATGTTTTTAACATATTACCTACGGTGGTTTATTTGCTGGCCCTTCGAGTACTTTGTATGAGTTTTTGGGTGTTAAAAAACTAAAGGTAGTCCAAAAAAACAACAAAAGGTCACTCGAATAAATCTATTATTTAAAAGTCTATTAACGAACTAATAGTATATAATTATACTTTTGTATAGGTTATATGATTATTAGGTTAGGCTGTTAGGGGAGTTTTTATTCAGTTGGGGTGGTTTAGGACAATCTAAGCTAAATATAATAAATTACAGTTGCACGTTGAAAAATGCGCTATCAAATCAACGGATTGTGGGCTAATGCAAGTGGGCGTGACCAACATTTTCCAATCAATATATATGTTTTCTGGAATATCTTGGATTTGGATACCTGGATATTAAATGGGTGGTAGGAATATCGAAATTCCGTCCGGGTGACAAACTCTCCACAGATGAAAAGGGCTGTGGAGTTAAGTCGCGTTTCGAATTCAGTCTGTGGATTTCAGAATATCCAAAGCCAAATATTGCTGGGGTACTTCATTTTCCAAGAAGTCGAAGCTTGTCTATAATTCCAAAATTGCCTAACCCACCCCAATTTTACCTAAATATAGGCTGTTAATAAATAATCTATGAAAATAGTAATGGATAATAAGGAAAATTTTCGTTTTAATTTGCCAATTATAGTAACTTTTAGTGTATATGCATATTTTTATATTATATATATGTGTGATCAAATGATCGCGTCATATTTAATCTGCAAAAGATTTCTATTTATGAACCATTTTATGTTTCATTCTTTCTTTAACAATTAATGAATTGTAAAGCATAATAATGTTTTTATTCAATACATAATTGCGTTATTGTCGTTTTATCATTTGAGGCTGCTAGAGGCAGAGTGGTCCAATAACAAAGAACATGATTTTCAATAGGGAGGAAATAAAAAACGCGCAGTTAACTTAGGCAAAAATGAATTTGTACTATTATTTGTGTAAGAATTATAATAATTTTCGTTCACTACGCTCTTGTAGATTAACATTTTTTATACTATAAAAATATGAATAAGTGAAGTCATAAAATTGTAGTGGGTCTCTGCCTCTAGCTGCCTCCTTTGTAAGTTAATTTCTAGATGAAATAAACTTAATATCTTGAACTCGTGCGCAATTTCTATAACTTTTTAGAACGGATTCTGTACCTTTAATAGTAGCATAATATTTTCTAGTATTAAGGGTTTTCATTGTTAAATTTTATAAAATTTCATAATAGAGCATAGTTGTGTATAAATATTAGAGAATTTTCGTGATTAAAAATATTTCACTGGCATTTATCGTGAAAAGGAAACTTATGTATATAGAAAATGCCTATCTTTTTTTCTTATTGTTGGTTAATAATAAGTATTCAATAATAGGTTGCCTGCAATTTTTTATGAAAATGTATAGTTATTTTCTACACAGCCATGTGCACCATAAGCATAAGCGAGGTTTAGGTACCGAAGTGACGGTAGGTTGAGAATAGGCAACGGTAGAGTTGCGTATCTTATAGTTGTAGTGAATCGTTCAAACTTTTAAGTTCGTCTCGCGTGGATATTAAAAAAAAATATTAACTAACAAAATAGCTAAATTGCAGAGTTTTAGTTTATCTTATAAGGTTAAACAGGACATTTTATTACTGTTACCGTGATAAAGTTTGAAATGCCTATTACAATGTTTATTCGAAACATTTGCTTAAAAATAACCGGCTTAGTTTGTCATTAACTTGAATTAACTATTAATAGGTATATCTGTGCAATTTTAATCTAGCTTTAGACTTACCCATGTTTGTCTGTTTTTCACGCATTTTTCCCTATTTAAAATTTTTGTTCGACCTGCCTAAAGAAATTATATTTTTCATTTAAGCTTGATGGAGAGAAAAGTGAAATTAACATTTTTAGTAACATCTTTTTTCTAATTTACACAATACACATTTTCGCTGTGACATTAAATTGTTTCAATTTTTTTAATAGCGTGTTTCGCACAGTGACTTGACAGTAGTAAAAATTTAAATTTAATTAAATCTTCGTGAATTGCGTATTTAAAATATAAATAAATAGTGGTTGTCTATAATTTGTGGCTTCATGTTAAATACACTGTGGAAAACCATACAAAAACATTCATTTGTTCCTCTTCCCCTGATTAGTTGCAGATAAGTAAGAAAAAAAAACATTAATTTTTCAGGTTTTTTTTAATGACGCTCAAGTATTAATTTAATGTCATAGCATTTTGCGAAGATTTTATACGTTAGTTAAGGTTTTGAATTTTGTAAATAAAGAAGTCTATTATTGTGCAAATATATGGTTAATTGAAGCATAGTGTGTTGTTATCTTTTATTCCCAACCCCTTTTATAAGTATTCATAGACCGATATTCTACTACAAGAATATAACGTAATGTGTAATCATAAATAGCTTATTATTACATCTTAAAAAAATGTTAATCACTATAAAATTAACGTTTTGTTAGCTATTTAACTTGTACTACCGGTGTTATTTCCATAATAGATAGATAAGCTTTTCTGGTATAGAGAGGCTCGAGTCGCACATTTCGCAAAATAACTACAAAAGTTACTAACTTCATATATACAGATATTGGATTATAATTTTTTACATGGTCAAACTTGTTTATCTTTTTTTTTAAATGGCAGTGTATATTCAAGACCTTTAGTATATTATAATCTTTGGTCAACAAACCACTGACTTATTTGTTAATTATCTGCGCAAACTGTCTCTTATTGACACAACTGTCAAATAAAACTTGCGTGTTATTTTGCCTTATCTATGATGTTATTTTGTTTTATTGATTTACTTGTTATTATTTTTTACTTTACTCATGAAATATAAAGCAAATTCGTGACATTATACATAAGTTTTATATTACACATCAAACGCTAGCACTATAAGATGGAGTTTGAAAACGTAACAATTAAGTCGGAATTTAATATTGAAATAAAAGTTGAGCCTGTAGATGCTGATATAGATGATGATGAAGATGATGAATTAAGTGTCGATAATGATGAAGACCCTATAGACACAAAACTGACGACTCCGGATACGAAGAAAGATGAGACTCGTGTGCAATGTCCGAAATGTGATCGTACTCTTAAAAATAATGCCAACTTAAAACAACATTTACGTACAATTCATTTAAAGAAATCCCAAGAAATCCCATGTCCACAATGCCCCCGTACTTTCAAATCAAGAGAGTATTTATCCAGCCATAGACACGCTATGCACAGAAACGACGGTGAATTTCCTTGTCCGGAGTGTAAAAAAGTCTTTCAAAATAAACGCAGACTTGGCAACCACGTATTCTACACTCATAAAGATGTTACACCCTCAGAATGCACGGAATGTGGAAAATCATTCAAAGGGCAAAGAAAGCTCAAGTTGCACATGCAAAATGTGCACACAATTAAGAATAACATTAGTTGTCCTTATTGTGATAAGGCGTTTAAACTGGAAACATTAGTTAAAAAGCATATTAATTACTGCCATCTTCAAGAAGATGTAAATTACACGTGCCCATGCGATATTGTCTTTAATTCCACCATACGATACCAGAAACATATGCGAAATGTACATTCAACAGAACGGCCGAGATGCCTTCTTTGCAATAAGCAGTTTAAAACAAAGCATATAGGTATTAGACATGTACGTGTGTGCCATAACATTCAGGAGGAACTGCTGAGTTATTTAACATATAAGGATCTTCCCGATTTAGAAATTAAGGTTAAACCTGAAGAGTTTGAATGTGAAATATGTTCAAAAATATTTCTTGATAAAATGATATTCCAACGACATATGAAATCAACCCATCCACCAAAAGATGCAGAGGACTCTTGCGATGTCTGTCACAAAACCTTCAAGTCAACTCTGCACGTACGCATACATAAAGATGCTGTACATCCGAAGTATGGAAAATTAAAGTGTGATGAATGTGACGCTACATTTATTTCGAAAAAGTATTTAATGCGCCACAAGTTGAGGCACAGGCCAAGTAAAGTTCAGTGTGATTTGTGTAATCGGTTTTACAAATCTCAAGAGCAGTTTAGAATACATTTGAATAGGGTACACAAGAAATCTCAAAAAAATGAGGACAACTAAGGAAGTAACTAGTATAGATAATAAAATTTGATTCTCTCCTATCATCAAAATTGAAGGCCAAAGCGGTTAAAGCTTCTGCTCCTTACTAGACTAAGACACTTTTCCGCAATCATTTTTAATAACTTGCCACCTTAGACACGGATTTAGTTATTTTTTAAAGTAAGGCTTTAGTTTATTTAAAGTATAGATTTTAATTCTTTTATTTTTATTATTAAGTAGCAGTATTTAAGTAAAATACTTTTGTGTTATCTCTTTTTTGTACAAAATATACTTAGTCAATTCATTTTTTAAGTTATTACTTTTTGTATTTTTTAAGTTTACGAGTCTAAGACCAGCAATAAATTTTAGATAGCATACATACCCAACAATGTCTACAATTTTACTCCATAATATTTTGATGCATCTGTAGACAGGTGAACAGCAAATTGTAAACCAATAAGGATCAGAAATAGATAAGTTACAATACTTGTAACTTATATTAGTATCAGATGTATTAATATTAAATTAAGTAAAGCTTTACTGTTTATTTATATTCTGAAACTTTGTTTTATGTACTTAAAATACAAGTAATATTTTTTGTCACTCCTTTATTAAAAATTGTTACAAGGTAAGATGCTGTATATATAGCAGCTATTGGTTTGATGTATAGTGATTTTGAGGTTATTAATTAAACAATTTTTCCAAAATCTCTATTTATTTAGACAAAAATATCTCTTAAACGTAATTATTTACAACTAAAAATCATAGCCTTACTTTTTGAACTACGAGGCTCCGTGAAATGCGCCCAAATGTACTTAAATGGTGGTATCTTGGACAAATCATCGATTAACTTATAAAAAAAACCTCTTACGGGTCACATTTTACAAAACGAGGGGACACAAAGCTTGCGACTGTGTGGGTCGACAAAACATTCGGGCAAACGAAACGAGATTATAAGTACTTTATTTCGCTTATATTTCAATAACCCGGTATTCCAACATCATTGTTTGTAATAAAAATCGCTTATGCCACAAATTTGAAATCGCTTACTATTGTAAAGTAAAGCTCGTCTCATTTATTTTGCCTCATAAATTAAAATCTATTTAAATACTCTCGTCGTCCGTAGCTTACGCGAGTACACATTTAAATTAAACACTAACGGTTGAAAACGTCGGGCCGCAGTTAAAATAATTTTCAAATAAGTTTTAACTAAATTATTTCGCGTTTAAACCGTTACAGTGGTTTATTTAAAATCTATTTAAATAAATTGTATGTCTTTAGCAGCCATCTTGGGGAGCTACATCGTACGTACGTTTTTCCTAAGTTATACAAAAACCATAACGAAGAAGAATATGGCAAATCATTATCAGTCTCATTTTTCATTTGTCTAAAAACACACAAACAGACACATTTTTAATGGCATTGATAAAAAACTAAAGGCTACTACGAAATAAACATTAATATTTGAATAACGTAGCCTCTATTACACAAAGAAAGTAAGGTTACCCTATTTTCCCCGGGTTACCAACTGCTAGAGTTGTATTTTCCCCGGTTTAATAATTTCCCTCTATGGCCCCGCTGTGACAGTAAAGTACTCGCAGTTGGCTTGCCGTGGCCATTCAAAGACAACTGGAGACTCTTCTTTGTACTTTACTATATCTGGTTGTTTAGGTTTCAACTGAAATGAAGGCATTTTTAGAGTGTCTTAGATTTGTTCAGATACATTAACTTAAAGATCTAACAGAAATAGGTGTGAGTGTGAAAGTCCGTTTCCCCCTTGTGGGGAATGGGGCCACACATTCTGTGGTTTCACTGATCCGTTATTTTAACGGGCAAGTAGTTGATCAGACTTCTGTGCCCTGCCCGACCGAAACAATTTTATGTTTCCCTGGGATTCCAACCCAGGACCTCTCGCGATTAACGCAATGCTTTTAACCATTTGGCTACAGGGGCAGCGGTAACAGAAATATGGTTTAAAAAAAGTAATTTAAAGTAATGTTTATTTTACCTTAGCGGCTCGATGTAACTTGAGATGAACAAGTTTTATGTGCGTGCGCATAGCTGTGCGCTGCGCGAACTTGCGTCCGCACCGCTCGCACGGGTACGGCTTCTCGCCCGTGTGCGTGCGCATGTGGTTCGTCAGTGTGCTCTTCGCCTAAAGCAAAATATCTATAATTAACTATGTCTTTTTATGCCTGAGATGAACAGAGGTAGATGTATCAAAAATTACAACAAAACGAATTAAAAATACCGCCATTGACGAAATGTTTCACTATTAAGCTATGGAGGCAGTCATGTAAATAAAACTATATAAATTGAACTTTTAACAGTTAAAAATGTAAAATATATCACTTATGTCATTTAATTATGCCCTGACGTTCCAGATGCATTGCGTTGGGACCAACATATTTCGCGTTTGGAACCATTAAAATGTTTTATTTAAATTTGTATGGTTTAATTTTACTAATGACTGCCGGCATAGCTAAATAATAAAACCTATTGCCTAGCATTATGTTAACCGCGGGAAGTTTTGGGTTTCAAATTTAGGGATTATTTTTAATTCAAACTAGTAGTTCCTGAGATTAGCGCGTTGAAACAAACAAACTCTACCGCATTATAATATTAGTATAGATTTTAGCTTAAAATTTTATGTTATATAACCTACATACATTTATAAAAGGTTTATAGCTAATCTAGGTTCCAGAAATCAAATACTAACATTGAACACCCTTCCACAAGTATCGCACACGTGCTTTGACAGCACCTTCACGCCGGAGTGAACCACTTTGATGTGCTTTTGCAGTGACGAGCGCGTCGCGAGCGCGGCCGGACACGACGGGCACGGATACGGGCGGACGCCGTCGTGTTGGACGGACAGATGGCGTCCGAGCGCTGATTCGGTCTCGAAACGCTTGCCGCAACGGTTGCATTGGTATCTGAAAGTATTATGGATTTTACAGGAGTGGGACTAAATCGAATTTGAGAATTGGCCTGGATTAACACCTGGACAAGAACAATAGACCCGTCCGTGTCCTTTTTTTTTAATAAAAATATACTTTTAATTTATATAAAGCCGTCTTGTGCAATAACATGTGAATGCTATAACAATGCTTTAGAGTTAAGGTAAATTACTCACAAAGTTAAACATTTATACAAAAAAGTTGGGAAGAATCTAAAACATTATTTTTTCCTTAAAATATATATATGTACAACAAAACCCGCAATTCCATATCAATTTATCAAACGTGGTATTGCCGTTTGGGCGTTAGTAAAACAACAGAAACAATACTCACAGTAGGCTCTGCTCGTCCTTATGCTTAACGGATTTTTTTAAATGTTGCGCAAGCGCTTGTGACGTTTTAAACCTGGAATTTGTGACATATTATCTTTAACGTTAAGAGAATTTTATTTACTTGTAAGAATTCTCACAATTCACTTAAAATGATAAACACAATTACTGTATATACAATCCTAGAATGAAAAAAAATTACTGTTAAAGATATGTCTATTTTTTTTTAAACAATTTTAAACTTCTGGAACTCTCTACGTCAAAACTCAAATCCATAATTTAAACTTATAAAAACCCTTGCTCATCGCTAATTTTACATCAAACTATCAAGGAAGGCGTTTATAACTATTTTTATATGCGCCTACTAACCTAGTGTCACATTCCACGCAGTAGTAGTCTTTCGCGTCGCTGTGTTTGCTCTGATGGTAGCGGACCTGCTGCCGAGTGCGGAACGACTTCCCACACACGGGACACGAGTGGTTCTTGATTCCTTCGTGGATCCTAGAAATAAATTTAGTACCGACATCAACAGAAACGATCAAAGGTTAAAAGTTCGTCTGTGAGTTTTAACAAGAAAGAGAAAGATCGATTTTAGATTTTAAAAATGTGCTGAACTATAATCTCTTAATAACTTCAATTTATTTATTTTTCTTTCTCTGTGAACTTAAAAATTAAAAATGTTATGAAAGCCTTCATAACCTTTTTTTCATCTTTAGACCTGAAAATGTGTCAACTTTTTTTTAACTTACAGCTTATGTTCGGCAAGTGCGTCACTGTTCACCAAGGTCTTCCCGCACTCGTCGCATTTTACACGCGACAGCGTGTGCGTGTTGCGTATGTGTCCGCGCAGCGTTTTGTTGTTACTATAAAGGATTAAATATTTGCTTTTACTTATTGCATTTTTTCCCTTTTTTATTGAAACTAGCCGTGTCAGCGACTTCGTCGTATAGTGCGTAGTATAGTTATTTTGGGCATCCAAATTTGTTTTTGCAAACCTTCATCTTTACAAACTTATGCTGTTACCCACGACGAGGATCGCGTACGGTCGTTACATATTTATTATTTATTTTAAACCGTTTTCGCAGTGTACGCAACGGATAATTAATAATTTTCCCAATTTTTGCTGTTTCTTCACTCCTCTAATGAACACAAAAAGAATTATTCAATTCGAACCAGTAGTTACTAAGATTAGCGCGTCCAAACAAACAAACAAACTCTTCAGATTTATATATAAGTATAGAAAAGTAAAAGGCATAGTAATATTATACTAATACAGCATAGTGCCGAGAGGAAAAGCAGTTTTCGTGTAAATTGAATGACCGATGATAATACCGACACCCTCCAATTTTATATCCCCATGACCACAAAAAGTACGTCGGGCCGTCGTACTTTTTGGAAACCATGTTGTATTATACCCACCTGAATATCTTTCCGCAAATGTGACATGTGAAGACAGTCGTTATACCTTCGTGCTCAGATCTGAAATTAAGTGAAGCACTTAATCAACATGGAATTTAACATCAGCTCAAATGTGTAACAGATGACGTATCAAATTTTTAGTCTTAAGACACATTTTATAGGCGAGGAGAAAAGAAATAAAAAAATATTTCAAACAATATTGGATTTCACTTGATTGAAGATAAAATACCCCAAATAGCCATAGAACATCACAACAAGATGTTTAGGACATTCAGGAATCCACAGACTAAAATCGAAACGCGACTAAAGTTCACGGGCTTGTCATCTGTGTTCGGTGGTTTGTGGCCCGGACGAAATTTCGATAATATCAGAAATTAAATATGCAGATTATGTGTCTATCTAGATATATCATGATCTGTGTATCTAGATATAAAAATCATAAACTGATTCAAACATGTTGGACCCCGGGAGGATCGAACCAGCGACCCGTGAGTCATTAGGTATACATTACTACCATTAGACCACATTGAGTCAGTTTTACGACACAAATAAGTCCAATATTATGCGGGCAGCACTAGAGACCAAACCCCACCCTTTATTACTGTAAAATTTTTAAAAGGGTTGTAATTACAGCAGAGTAAAGAAACACTATATTGCAGTGATCGTGCTAGTTGCTGTTAAAACGTGTCAACGGTATGTTGAACAGTACAAAAAACATTACTTTTAGCGCGATGTAGATTTGCCTTAAGACTAACTTATAGCTAAGAATTTATATCTAAGAACCGCATGCATTCATCTCCTAACTTTCCCAACCCTGACACAAATATGTCACATGCTGGTGCAGAATTAAGAAATTTGACCTGTGGTACAATTACCTATTGCAGCACTTACTCTTCGTCTTTCGGTATGGATCTACAGAGGAAGAGGAAGTTACACAAACATTCACTTACACACTCCACTCACCTGTAGTGATTTATAATTGAGTCCTTATCTATCATCCGTCGACCACACTGTTTGCATTCAAAACGTCTTGTGTGTATAAGAGTGTGTACGGATAGGCTGTAGTTAGTTGGTAAGTACATTGAACAGATCTCGCATTTGAATGAGCCGCGCAACTGAAATTGCAGACATACAATTAAATCTCATTTTTCAAAGATGTACTAAATTAAAATATATCTCATTTCTAGCGTTTACCATGACACAGAAGACAAAATAAAAAATTAAAATTTTACATAAAGTAATTTCCCTCTCCACCTTTTTAAGTTTGATAAGCCATATTTGATGTTAGCTTAACTAATTAGTAAAATTTTATCATACATTTTGAATATAATGATATGAAAAGTTAGGCCATTGTACAGTTCTTGCTGTAAAATGGCTAAAAAGTTTTTACTGTAATTTTATTAAATATCAATAATTTATTTTTGTAACTAAGTCCATACTAATTAAAAAAAAATAGAAAATAAAATACGACTCAGGTAGGACATGAACTGGTTTCCAGTGTTCCGTGCTGTTGCTCTAACCAATTAGGCTACCGAGTCGAGGTTCCTTTCAAGTCCTGCCCGAATCGTACTTTTTTTTTTCAATTGAATATTTAATTTATATGGTGCCATCATGTACAATAACATGTAAAGAATATTAAATAATTAAATTTGTCCTGATTAAAAGTGACATAAATATAAATATTTAGCCTTTGCTTTTTATCACATGTAACTGATTACCTCCTCCAAGTCGGTTTCCACAAAAGAAAGTGATAAAATAATAATATCACCAACTTTCATTTATAAAAGCCATACGATGAGCTACAACTATTTCCTCATAATTGATTTTAAGAACTTACACTAGTGACTTAAGGTTTAAAGACTTTATTTCTCATAAACTTTACTTTACAATGAGATTAACAAAACTTACAGGACTGTGTTTTTTCATGTGATTTTGCAGTTTAGACTCGTAAATGAAGCCTTTGAAACACAAGTGGCATATAAAAGGGAACATTAGGGTTGACTTGCATTCCTCCTGAAACAAAAACATAAGCAATCTTTCATATGGGACTGAACCTGGCCGACCGCTTTAGCCCTTCAGTGTAATCTGCTGGACATAGCCTTCCCCTAAGAATTTTTATATTTGGGGGGGTAAAATGTCAATATGCAGTTAAATGTTGTGGATCACAAACACTGCAGCCTGCTTTTGGGTATATATAGATATGTGATATGAGGGGAAGTGGGGGGTGCTTAGCATTTAACTATGCCTGTAAATCGATTAGTGAAAAACAGAAATGTTTTAGCTTTTTGTGCACATGTATTACTTTGTTTGCCCAAAAAGGAGATGCTGCCTGAAGGAAACCAATCTTCTTTGTTGGTCTTATAAAGTCAATTTATATAGTAAAGTTTAGTCAGTAATGGTGGGTTAACTAACCTCTTTTTGTTTCAATTGCTCCGCCGGGTCCAACCTGACTATACGTATTTTGGTCTCGTCAATGTCCACTTTGCTTCTTGTTTTGCGTTTCTTTATTTGACTGACACTGTAAAAAGTATTGACTCATAAGTAATTATTATGGTACGTTAATAATCTGTTTCATTTAGCAAAGCAAGGTTCATAAATATGTCTCATCATGCCCATCAATAACTTACTCTAAACTATCTTCTTTAACATCATTCTTGTTCTTAATCCTTCTTTTTCTCTCAGTGGTTTTTTCCTCCTTATCGTCTCCTTTGTCTAGGGAATCTTCAGTATCCTTATTTCTGTTAAAATTAAAAATATGCAACTCTAATGTTTTTAAATTGTTTAAAAGAGTTTAAAACAATGATTCATTTTAAACGATACAAAAATATTTTGAACTAGTCAATGCGACATGAATCATAACCTAAGCCAGGCATGTTTGAATCTATTGACAACAGTTATCTTTAATCACTTGTTGATAAATGTCGCATTACTTATATCACTCACCCATCATAATCTTCATGCATGGAGAGGTCATCAAAATTTGATGGATCTTCATTTTTGACATCCAAGCCCCAATCATCATCATTGTTTTGACTCAATTCCAGCTGTACATCGTCCAAGAGGGATTTTTTAATTTGTTTTTCATGCTGGGAATATAAGTGGAAGTCTATTACAGAAATGTCTCTTGTTACTCTAAGGCATGGAAGATTACAGGGACAAGGCTTCCGCTATTATCTACATATGTGTGACACATGATAAATTTAATAATAACAATCTTCTATTTACAGGAATTCAAAACAAATTTTTGCGTTTTCCAAAATTTTAATCAATGTTTTACTTTGGGCAATTTCAAATTACCAAAGACCATAGCTAGAAACATTTGAAGTCCTCAAGTTGTGATGGTGGCATCCTAAGAATATTAATGTTGTTGTCCGTTGCCCCATATTGGGAATGTGGGACACTCTCTCGCTCATATTATATGTACTTCGTACATGAATGATCTTACCTTTAGTACTGTATGAAATCCTAGTTTGTTCTTAGCACTAGATGTGTTTATTATAAGTGTTTTGGTTTCCGTTAAATTGCTCTTTGAATATTTCAATAGCTCTGGGTCTTTACCATCAATGGCAAACTGAAAGAAGACATGATTTTTTACTAGTATGTATTTCAAGTTAGTTGTCTGTCGTGATTGGATATGGTTCCTAGTGTATACTGTGCAGATTCAGATTCTGAGCTTTCAATCATTTCTCAACCACAATAGCCAAACCCTAATAGCATTGTAAAATGTCTACAAAAACCTCAAACATTTAAATAAAACACTTTATATGCAATATATTGGTTAATATATTAGATGCATTGCAGAAACCATGGTTAGGGGGACTCTTCACAACACTGTTCTCCGCCTGGACAGGTCATAGAAACAAGAAATTAACTAATACATTTCACATTTTATACTGTTAAGTGTTTAATGTAATTGTGTTAAGTATTTAATGTAAAAAATGTGCATTATTTATGAAGTACAGACAATAATTAAGTCTTTAACAATTAGTATTACTAACTCATTAAAAAAAATATTATTAATTTACACTAGCCTTTTGTAGCTCTTTTTTGTTTCTTCATATCTGTTTCACTAGTTGATAATGATTTAATTAAGCTATTATGTCAGTTGAATAATTACTTACTGGTGCACATCTATTATGGTAGTCGTAGAGAATGGCTTGTGCTTTTAAGACTTGCTTTTTGAAGCGAACTGACTTCCTTAGCAATGCAGTACATTCACAGCATATGTCTTGAGGTAGACCATCCATCTCAGTAATCTGAAATGTATAATTACTGATTAAACACAGTTTTATTAAAGCTTGCAGTTAGAAAACTATGTTAGTAACAGATAGCTTATAAGGTCGGGCGGTTTTTAATACCATGCAACCCTTTTTTCTTCCGCAAGATCGATTAGACTGGATGATATTACTGACTAAAGATTAAGACAAAGACGGTGTCGGTTTATAAAAGATATTAATACTTACGAAAATATCCGCCAACTCCACAAACAGATACTTTAAATTGTCTATTTTCACCATTTGTCGATTTGTCGATAAACAACACCGGCATATTTGTTCTACTTTTATATCGTTTATATCTACATCTGGTTTTATTTCAATATCGGGGTTTGTTTGAAACATGCTTACAAAATAAACAACAGAACACAGACATAAATATACGTAAGCGCTTGTTTTACGAGAAAAATTTTAATCAGGTATTTAGTTAAATATATTTTGAATGTTTTCAAGTTTAGTTTTTCTATTTAGCATTTTGAATCATTGAAAATTGCATGTATTATGATTTGAAAATTGCTAAGATTTGTAATTATTAAGAGTTTTGACTCTGGTAACTGACGCTATTTCTTGACAGTTAACATGTGTCACAATTGGATGATGACAATTGACAATAGGGACGATAGCTCATAATTGTGTGTGATTCTGTTTGAAAAATGAAAATATATTTATTCATTCTTACTACTATGAAAGTAGTTAAAATCGATTTTTTTAAATTTATTAATACGAAAAACATTATTTAATTATTTATACGTAAATACTTTTTAATGCACACATTTGTGTCACAATCTCATTATTTTAGCATCGTTGCTGTCGGAATTATAAGTATGTTTGAATGCTCCTGTAACTTAGTAAGACCTACTATGACATTTTGTTTGTTGCATAGGTTAATTAAAACACAGACATTTTGTACTCCAAAAAGGCCAATTGGATTTCTAACATTTAAATAAATATTAATTTGTAAATGAACGCCAATTCAAATACTAAAATTCGTGTCAATAAACCTTTAAATATTAAATTGATCAAAATTCATTGAACCATTTCGATTTTACATGGTTTTATGACAATATTAAAGTACTCTGTACATATTGTTTAGTGTTATGTTTTCTTTATAAGTTGTATATCTTAAAATGAGTGAAATATTAGCGTGTCGGATTTGTTTAGCGTCTGAAGATGTTAAACTTTCAACTTTAACTAAATATAAACTGGTGGAGGTGTATGAATTTATTACTGGGTCGCCTGTAAGTTTGTAATCTTGCCTGTGATTGTATTAATGTTCATAAGTTTATATAATTTTAATTAACTTATAACTTATTTGAATATAGCTCTTTACCGGTTTAAAACGCAATATATATTAGTTGAACTTATTTAGAAATTTGTTTAACAACGGCCCGACGCTTCGGATTGAGTTTAACTATTAAATATCGCGTTTTAAACCGTAAAAGTGTTTTATTTAAATTTTGTACTACTCGCGTAAACTACAGTCAGTATTTTTATTACTTATTTCTTAAATAGTTACAAGGCTTGTCTCTGTGCTCTCTTGAACAAATATATTTGAATTAAAATGGTAAACTAACATGACAAAAACTGGTAAATTTGTGAGTAGGGGCAAGACGAAATATGTTTGAAACACAGTATAATCTTAGATGTTATTTTTTAATTTTTTATATGCTTCACAGATAACTATGGACGGCCTTCCTACCTACATTTGTATGTACTGCACAGCCCAACTACGGAAATTTTCATTGTTTAAGGAACTGTGTACACAATCACAAGAGTTGCTTAAGTATTTTCATAATGATTTGAAAGATAACAAGGTAAATCAGTATTATTATAATATTCTGTCGTTATTAGTTAGTTTAATGGTAAATGCTTCTTTGGCTTGTGAGGTTGGAAATAAATAATTATTAACTTATAGCTCCTGTCTGATGAAAATTTAAACCTTGATATTCTTTTTTTTACAGCTGACTGTAACAGAGCTTCGCAACATATCTCCATGTAATAGTAATCAATTTTCAATACATACAAACACACAAACAGTAGACATAGAGTATGCAGAACCAGTAATAAAAGAGGAGATACAGGAGGTAAAAGTGGAGTATGAACCTAGGAAGAAGAGAAAGACAAAGGAAGTCTTCTTAAAGTTGGATGATGATTTCCATGATGATGCTGTGGAAATAGATGATAAAAAAGACTATGATGTAAGTCTCGTTGCAGAAGTGTCTTTTAAGGCAAAGTAATACACCTTGTTGAGTTTGTTTATAGTCTTGAATTATTCATTTAAGAATGTATTATTAATTAAAGGATTATGATGATCTAAATGTGGAAATGGTTGTGCTCAGCAAAGAGCAGCAGGTAGCAGAAATCGAAGCCAGGAAATTATCAGTGAACTATCTAAACTCACTGTACAAATGCGACAAGTGTTTTAAGGGATTCATTACTGAGTTAACTTTCAAGAACCACATGGTTAGACATGATACTGTGAGTATATTATTGTACTAGAATATATCTTATTGATAAGATTATTATTTAAATATAATTACTTTTAATTTTAATTGTAACAATAAGTTTTTCTTTATGTTATCTTCCGTTTGTCACACCCGTGCATTCCGTCATTATTACCGTAAGAAATTTTGTTAAGTATTGTTGAAGTGAGGAATCCCATTGTCTTATCTGTCTCGCCTGTTCCTCAGATGCTTACCATTCTCAATGTGCTCCTTGACAGCAACTCTAATATCAATTTATTTTTTGACAATCATGGAACTATCGTGTCCTAAAGATTTAAATAGTTTCTTGTTTGTTTTGTTGGTGATAGTTCTGTATATAATTGGATTAGGCTGTTCTAGTTGTAATAAATAAATTACTTCATTAAATTATTATTATATTAATCTACATTAAATTTCAGAGTAGAGGCGAGCACATATGCGACGTGTGTTTATGCGTGTGCGCAGAGGCGAAGACGTTGCGCGGGCACATGATAACTGCGCACGAACGGAAGTACATATGCAAGCTGTGCAGTTATGTCTCGAGATCTTTGTAAGGATATCTACTATAATAACTTTTAAAGTGTGTTAGAATTCAATGTTTGCTGCGAAAAATATTCGGAAATGTGGAATAAACGGGGAAAAATATTCATTTTTGAGGTTTCCGTTATGTGCGCTGTGAGACCGGTTCAAGATACCCAAAAAATATATGTATGAAAGAATGATTCCTCTTGAAATTATTTAAAAAAAAATGTCGACACTATATGTGAAACTTGCAAGAACGAAGCGACGATTTAATTACATTATTTTTGTTATAGAAAATGTGTTTCTTTAAACTTTATTTTTTACAGAAATCGTGCGCGTGAGCATAGCCAATGGCACAAGGGAAGAACTTTTGACTGTAAGATTTGCGGGGCGTCATTTTCGTAAGTTTATCATTAGTCCTTGTAATCAATGTTATGGAGCATGGGGCTAAGAACTTTAGTTCTTTGAATAACGATAAAAACATCTTCGAAACTTTAGTAATACTTACGAAAATGGTAACAACAAACAACCCTCGTTAATAATGGGCTATTTGACTAATTTAAAAATGTTTGTTATGTTATTTGGTAGATGTTAAGAAACCCCAGAGAAGTATTACGCCTAAACGCTTATTTTGTGAAATAACGCTGCAATACGGCAAGTGTCGTCACGACCTTATATTGGCCACTGCCGTATGTCCATCGTATGATCTACAATCTACATGCATTTGTACCAAATATTTACATTTTAACAGTGATCGAAGTAATAAAATTAGTTACCAATAATTATTAATTAATGCAATAGAACAGTTTTAACACTAGAAAGCACGGTGGTTAATAGCACTGTTTATAAGCAAGTGACATCATAACCGACCAAACAGGAGCGTTTCCTATCACGTGACAAATGTTTAAAAAAACATTTTTTTGTTTATTTTATAATCAATTATTATTTCTAACATATATGACTTGTTTGCTATTTCTAAACGTATACTTAACCCTGAAAACATTAATTGAAGTTATATAGTTCGCATTGTCTAATAGACTATTAAGAAATGGTGGCGAACAAGATAAGCGCTATTCAAAGTCAAAAATCATTTATTCACGTAGGCACACTTATGTATGTCACATCACTTAAAACTAAAGACTCTACATTTAGGCTTACTAATATTTTCATGAAGTATTGTGAGGTTAGTCCACGAACAATCGGGATCTTATCTTTTCAGTAAGTCAACTAGTTTCCTTACCCATACCCGACTGCAGCACCCCACGAACAACTCGTGTGACATCTGCGGCGAGTCTTTTCTAGGGGAACTGGGGCTGAACCTGCACAAGAGGAAGGCCCACGCTGATGTTGATGATGAGGTGAGACCAGGATCCCGATTACTTCATCACTTTCTGTCTTTGTCGCATTGGTATGAGAATGTTTAATTAATTAGTTAACTTACCGAGCCACCCCTGTGACCACGGCTGTTGCAAGACATCCGAAACGTGTTTTATTTATATGTACTATTCACATCAACTATAGACATTACTAAATTACTACTATTCAACGACGTATGGCCTGATGTTTTGCTCCGGGTCGTTTGTACATAAGCCAACTAATACATTTTGCGTTTTAAACCGTTAAAAGTGTTTACATAGTTAAGTGTTAACATAGTGAAGATCCTAATGAATTGTTGATGTGTAATACTAGGTACTTAAATATGTTTATTTTAAAACTACTTGTGTAAACTACAGACATTACTACATTACAATCGTTCGGACATTGCGTCGGGTCGTGGTTAAAAATTAATATTTTACGTCTTTAACTGTTCTAAGTGGTTAATACAATGGCATTTTTTTTTATTTTCAGGTTTTGCTCAGAATAACGTGTGATGGCTGCGGTGTGATTTTCGAAAGTAAGGACGCTCTGAAGCGACACTTGGAGTACTCAGTCAATGGAGAGTGTGTTACTACCTTTAGGTAAAGTCTAATTAATTGTATTCACTATTGCAATATTGCAAATTGCAGAAAATAATATATTTAGTATTTGTTTATTTCTGAATTAGGCTTTCCACGTCTCAAAAAGCTTAACACACATATAAGTAGCGGCACGGATCTTTAACGTTGAACGAATCCTGCGCAGAAATCAAAAATATGGTATCGAAGGGACGGAAGCGGGCTCGGGGCGAGTGAACGTCATGTGCGTTAATGTCGATTGGTTACCCAGTCGTGTTGTCTTTCTCGGACCAATACGACGCTCCGCTTGCTTCTCGAATACAGTCACGTTTTCCAATCAATTACGTGCGCTATTACATAGATGCGTAACTATCCTATCTACACTTCGTTCATCGCTAAACATCCG